TGCTTCGGGCGACAGGCTGCCGCCCCAAGCCTCGCGCGCTCGGCGGGACCTCCTGCCGGGCGCGCAAGGCTTGCGGACACTCACCGGGGCTGCAGGCTGCTGCCCGCAAGCCTTGTGAGCCCGCGGGAACTCCCGCCGGGCTTGCAAGGCTTGCGGATAGCTTCCTGAAGCCTGGAGAGCGAGAGGGGTCGGTGCGCACCGATGCCTCTCGCTCGCCAGACTTCAGCGAAAGCCTGCATTCGCCCCATAGGACACACACACATTTCCCCTTCATTTTTGGAGGGGGAAAAGTGCGTCCTATGGGGCAAAAAATACGGTACCTGCTAGTATTTAAAAAGCCACACAACATCCATTCCAAAGTCCATAAATTATTATTACTGTATTGTTACAGGGAACCAGGAAGAGGGCCTTCTCGGTAGTGGCACCTGCCCCTTGGAATGCCCTCCAGTCAGATGTCAAAGAGATGACTAATTATGCATCTTCTTTATATACATCTTCTTTTATACATCTTTAATTATAATTATGCATCTGAAGGCAGCCATGTATCAGGAAGCTTTTACTGTCTGATGTGTCTAGTGCTCTTTTATATTTTGTTGGAAGCTGCCCAGAGTGGCTGGAGCAACCCAGTCAGGCAGCGTACAAACAAATTATTATTATTATTATTATTATTATTATTATTTAAAGCACATGGCTTTCCCCAAAGAATCCTGGTAGTTTGTTAAGGAGGAAGGGAATTGAAGCTCTGTGAGGAGCAAACCAGAGTCCCCTGGACTCTTTGGGGGGAGGAGCCCTGAGTTTGAAATGTATGATGTGCCCTAATTGTCACTTTCCCAAGATCCCAAACTTTGATTCATCCTCAACCACCACCTCCACAGAGCCTCTTCTTGTAGCAATACCTTTAGGGGCAATTGTGGAACTGATGTTTATTGACTGCATCAATATTACTTTAAAATTCAAATATAGAACTGAGAAGCCCAGTCTGTAAAACACATCCTGTTAAAGGCCTGGGTGGTGAACAAAAAGTTCTTCAGCTGGTGCAGAAAAGGCCATGGGTTGTAGCCAGTGCTGATCCTGCTCATGAGAAGACCCACCGAAATAATTAGGCATGGCTAAGTTACATGCTTCCATTTCAGTGGGTCTATTCCGAGTAAAATTTCACTGGCTAGGACCCCATGAAGGCATTGCAGGTGAACCTTTCTGGGAAGGCTACACTCTGACAGTATTCTACATTTTTCATAAACCCCCTCCTCAGCTGTTGGGAAATCAGCCTACAGAACTTTTTAATAGAATCACAGAATTGTAGAGTTGGGAAGGGACCCCCAAAGTCATCTAGTCCAACCCCTTACGGTGCATGAATCTCGAAGAAAGCATCCATTTTAAACCAAGAAACCAACTTAAAATAGAATAAAAGCAATGGCTATCTTGGCGCAGGGTTGTTTCAGAAACAAAACAATCCACGGAAATTAAAATAACCTATGCAAATGAACCCAGAGCAAGGATCTCTACCTGGGAAAGGCTGCCATTCACACGGCTCGCTCCTCTAGGAGGCGCTCCGCCGCGGCGTCCAGCCCAGGGAACGGAACCGCTTCCTCACGTGCAAACGAGCCAGCAACTTTTCCAAAGCCTCTGAGCAAAGAGGAGGCCGCTCGGCTTCTCGCGGAGAAAGGCAGCTCTTCCTGCACCCCACCCACCCATTCCTCTGCGGTCCGGCTCTCTTGACAAACCTCAGCAGCTGAAGTTCTCTGCTGGGCGACCTCGTGGTTTTCCTCGGCTGGGCGGGGAGCCGAAGGGACGGGCCCTGGACCGGGAGGCGCCCAGCCCTCCAGAACTTTTAACCAGCCTGGACTGGGGCAGTTTCCCCTCCCAACACCTGCTGCTTGCTCAACGTCTAACCCAGAGCCTCCCTAACTTTTGGGGGCCGCCAGCCCCCCTCCCTTCCGCTCCACGGTTCCATAACCACCTCCCCAGTGCCTGCTACCCTATCCTAACACAAACCATTATTCAGAACAGTGGTTTGCACGACCCACTAAGGAAGGTGGTGACACAACCGAATTCTAAACAGTAGCAAGTCATTGCACATTTATTCAAAATCCAGTTAAATATTTTTGGTTTAATTCATTCAACAAAACTGGTGGGCCGGTGAGAGCAGCTTTTCAGCGTCATTTGCACCTCCAGCGATACCCGGCCGCCCCCTTGTCTCTTCTTAGCCCCCCCCCCCCCCAGGTTATCCCACCGCCTCCCAGGGTGAGCTCGCAAGCTTCCTTGCAATTTTAGGGCAGTGGGTTGGTCCTAATTAAAGTATTATTGCCCAGCTGTGGAATTTTTTTTGGGGGGGGGAGTTCCTTACGGGCCAAGACGGGTTCCTTTGCTCTTCACGTTTCTCCAGCTAGTCCCGAGGAAGAAAATCACATGCATACAAGCGGAGCGGAGTCCAAACCTGCAATTCCTATAAACCGCCTTGATTTGGAAAGCACATCTGGAATCAGAGCTGGGCTTCTCCGCCTTCCCGCAAGGGGGATGCCTGGGACAGTCTTCGAAAGACTCAGGGTGTTGACCTGGATTTCAGCGGAGAACAACTCGAAGAGTATTTTGTTTAAATAATAATGACTGCGAGGGCAGACTTAGTTCAGCCTCCGCTCCCCCAACAGTGGGAAAAGATGACTTGGACACAACTTTCCCCCCACGCTCACACATGTAGGCACGGAACACGCCCCTCTTCGGAAAGCAGAGGGGCAAAACCCAAACAGGGGGGCGGAGTGCGGAGAGATGGAGGACTCGCTTTCCGGCTTGCATTCACTTTGAGGGTCTATCGTGAGGGTCTCTGCCCCCCGCCGCCGCCCAGGCTGCCCTCCTAGCCCCATCCGTCCCGGGGGTTGGCTTCTCCTGAGCCCCCCAGGCAGAGCCGCCTCGACACCCCCCCAGAACCCCACAAGCGTTTTCACAGCCCCCCATTCTTCCCCGTCCCTAGAAGCCCCAGCCCTGTCTGCCCCGCTCTCCGCAAGCCGCCCTCACCTGCCGCTGCTGCCGGTGGTCCAGAGGCAGCCTGTGATTCTCGCAGTTCAAAGCAGGGAGGTGAAAGGCGGGTTTTTCTGGGTTTTGGGTTTTTTTAAGCAAAGATCCGAGTCCTCCCGCTAGTGTTGTTCTCAGTTTAGCTGCACCGCTTGCAACCATTGGGGGAAGAACCGTGGAAACCGCCCGCCTCCGTTCTCTGCGATAGGCGGGACGGCTGGGAGGAGAAGCTCTGATTCGTAGCTCCAAGAGCCCCCCAACTCCCTCGCCGCGCTTTGCTTTTTTGGTAAACGGGGGAGGAAACCCCGCTCTTCCCTTCTCCCCTTTGCATCCAGCGTTCATTCAAAGATGAGGCGCGCCCCGCCCCCTTCATTTGCATGGGGCGGAGCCCTTCCGAGGCGGAGGAGGCCAAGGAGTCCCCATTGGCTGGGGGCGTTCCTCTCCGAGTGACGCGTCAGGGCCGGTGTTCCCCCGCCGCCGCCGCGCTCTGTACCCACTGAATGAATATATGAATGAATGATGAGTGGCTGCATCACACTTATTCTGAAAGTCTCCTCCGAGGCTGCAAAGAGGGGAAGGCGACAGAGATTTCCTCACTCTCCCTTGCTGCTGGGAAGTTGCTGAGCAGGGAGTGTGGAGACTGTGAGACTCCCTCTCCGGGAGGCCACGTCTGTTTTCCCCGACGTGACAGCTGCTTCACCACCAAGGCAAAGCGCCAAGAAACTGAAGAGAGACGTGGACTTTTCTCTCTCATTTTTCCCTTCCTTAAAAATTGCAACATGCAAGCACAGCGGGATCAAGCTGTGGACAGCTTAGGGCTTTAATTCCATCACTTAGTATGCAGGGAATAATTGATGGCACTCACCTCGTTTGAAGGATGACATTGTCACACAGGTATTATTAAATCCGCAGCACATCCCTGCGGGAGCTGCAGGCACTCGGAGGCGATGGGAGGCTCCAGTTCCCCTGCCTGGGCCTCTGCCAGGCCTGGTCTCGTGGGCGGCTGGGTCACCCCCTCCTCTCCACTAGGCTGGCTGCCAAAAATACTTCTGGGTGTGCGCTGTGAGGGTTTGGTATTGATTGGAAACAGGAAGGCTCAGGCTTTGTCATTGCCCGCCTGGCTTAATTAACTCAACAGGCTGAGCCTCCCTGATCCGGATCGGCCACTATACCAAGGGTGTAAGGGTCAGAGGGCATCTCCTTGCATGGGCAGTGGGTGACCTCCCTGCTTCTCCCCCCACCCCGCTTTGAAGCTTTCTCTTAGGGCCAGCCTTGACACCAGAGCAAAATGAAGTAGCTGCTTAGGCAGCAGGTTCTGTATAGGGCACAGTTTTCTTGCCTCCAATTTCTATCTCTCTGAGTCATTTCTTTAAAACATACCAGCGCGGTCCAGAGCAGAATCCATCCATCAATCCCTACGGTTCGAGAACATCTGAGGCTTGCCATTGTCATGATCAGAGCCTCCAAGGGGGTTGTGCCATTCTCTGAGCAGTTTCTCAGCAGCACAAAGATGCTTATGAGTTGTCTGGAAGCAGCTGGCGGGCAGAAACGTACCAGAGAGGAGGCCTCAGAGATCACAGGCTGGAGGGGGCAGGTGAGTCAGTGAACAGTCCAAACCCAAATGCTGGTAGCATTTAAAGTGCTTTGAAGTTACTTAATCTTAATTGGTTTTAAATAATACTTTGATTTTAGTTGGGAGGGGGGTTAAAAGAAAATTTCTCTAATTTTAAATAAGTTGGGGGGGGGAGTACCTGGTGCTTCTCTTTTTTACCAATATTTTTAATGTATTGGCTGGCTCCAGGAAGCCAAGAGCATGCTCACTTTTTACTGAGCAATTTGTGCTGAAATCTGTCTCCACAGTTTTTATTATATCACCACAATTTTAAAAGGGTTAGATGTTTCCATTTTTTTCCAAGGCTGACTTAAAAACTAAAGATATTTACATTCCCTCCATTACCTTGCAAGAACCACCATACATTTTTTTTTTTTTGGAGGGGAGAGAACTGGCGTCTGAATGGTACAGCAAAACTTTTTAAAATGTTGGCCTTGGTGTTTGTGTCAGCTTCCAGCAACATTATGTCTTAGGCCTGCACTGCTTCCCCACCCCCTTCAATTAATGCTAAAAAGCTTAATAAAACGTTTTGGACCATGGGCACCATGTTGCCTCAAACAACCTTAAATATAGCTTTAGAACCATACTTCAAAGAATCTTATTTGGGTTCTTCTCAAGTCTCTCTTCTCAATGCTATAATGTGAGGGTTGTGGTCCCTTTAATCCTTGGTGTTAATCCAAAGATAAGTTACCTGCAGTAAGATGTTTTCAATTACTAGTATTAAATGATGATCCCTGTAGATGATGGCAATGTACATCCACTGGGCAAGTATTGGGATCAGAATCCATGGTTCCCAACCCAGCCTTGAGGCATCTGGCCTAGAAATTCCAGCCTAGCAAGGCGATCCATGTAGGTTTAGATTTTCTTAGCACTTGCAAACAACTTCAAGTGAATCTACTTAGCTATTTTAAAAACTGGTGTAAGTTAGTGGTGCTGAATTTTTTAAAAAGGGAAACTCTCATAGTGCAGAATCTGAAGACTGGAAACACACAGGTAACTAGCTACAGCAGGATAGACGAAAGCACAGCAAAGGTGAGATCTAATAATATGTTTCTAGGCTTACGAAAGTTATGGCACTGTTACAGGTGGGTGACTGTGGCACTTCAAAGCACCTTTCCATTTCCAAAGGAAGCAGAAGCTAGACATTTAGGAAGAATTGTTCCTTTGGCTACATTTCTAATGGTGACAGCTATTACTGACTCTCTTGCTAGTTTTGTGAATAATAATAACCATCTACTGAATTTCTAATAATGTCTTGGCAGCAAATTATAGTTGCCTCATTATGGCAGTTTTGCCACTGGCATCAAGAGGAGCAAGCTCTGGCTCTGTATTCCTGAATTCAACGCTGCAATAGTTTCAGCCTATTATCTACCTGCCGCACTCATTGAAAAGTTAGCAATTTTCATCTGAAAGTGTGAAGCCACTCTCTGCACAAAGAGAAAATTGATTCTCGCACACTGCGTTTAAGTAGTGGGCCTAATATAGTAGGAATGCTGAGACGAGGAAAGGAAAGCTTCATTCGGGTTATTTAGATATTGTGCCAAGCAAAGATATGTCTCTTTCTTCCTCTGCTCTTGTACAGCCTGCTAGTTCCTATTGAACAGGTGTCCCCAACCACTTCATTGGGCCTGCACTGAGATACACAAAAAGACTATAGTGAAAGATACCTGGAGCTACACCAACCTGCAAGACGGGAGGCTGAAAGGGGACAGCCTAGAACATCTGGATTTGGCCAGCAAAGAGCGTTTTGAAGCTAGCTGGGAAATGTTGTTGTCAGGGACTGATTGGAGGCAGAGGAATGGTGGGAGGAACCAGCTGGGGAACCCCCAATAAAAGGAGAAAAGGGAAAAGACTGGGAGATGTCAGAAGCTGAAGTGGTGACAGAGTTTAGTGACCTGTGAGCGTCTGTAGCAGAGAGAAGTCCAGAAGAAGAAGCAGAAGCAGGAGGAGAGGGAGACCAAGATGCAGAGATGAGTCAGGCTGGTAGAGAGGCACAGGTGAGGCCCCCTCCTGCTGCAACAAGCTCCCCTCTCCCCTGTCTGCCAGAATCAGAAGAGGTCTTAAGTAGGCAGAGGAGAAATTAGTGTCATGCAGGCACAGTCTCAGATTGCTTGGGAAAAACCCTGGAGAGGCACCTAAGGGAAGGCCATGCCCCATAATCTCTGCAAGTGCTTCATCGGGGCAAGAAGAGTTGCCGGGCTCATGAGGCCTGACACTCCCGTGTGGATCCTGTGTTTACAGTGGTACCTCAGGTTAAGTACTTAATCCGTTCCGGAGGTCCGTTCTTAACCTGAAACGGTTCTTAACCTGAAGCACCACTTTAGCTAATGGGGCCTCCCACTGCTGCCGCACCGCCAGAGCACGATTTCTGTTCTCATCCTGAAGCAAAGTTCTTAACCTGAAGCACTATTTCTGGGTTAGCGGAGTCTGTAACCTGAAGCGTATGTAACCTGAAGTGTATATAACCCGAGGTAAAGGTAAAGGGACCCCTGACGATTAGGTCCAGTCGTGGCCAACTCTGGGGTTGCGGCGCTCATCTCGCTTTACTGGCCAAGGGAGCCGGCGTACAGCTTCCAGGACATGTGGCCAGCATGACTACCTTCCCACTGGAGCGGTACCTATTTATCTACTTGCACTCTGATGTGCTTTCGAACTGCTAGGTTGGCAGGAGTAGGGACCGAGCAACGGGAGCTCACCCCGTTACGGGGATTCGAATTGCCAACCTTCTGATCGGCAAGTCCTAGGCTCTGTGGTTTAACCCACAGCGCCACCCACGTCCCTGTAACCCGAGGTACCACTGTACTAATAAAGAGTTCACTCTACTTACTTTGTGTGATTTACTGCTGGCTCACTCCTGTCAGTTGCTATGAAGTTCCTGTATGGAAATAAACAAGTTTTATGTCACTACAGCAGGTCAAGCCTTTAATGAAATGGTGCTCCAGGCAAGGAGCATCTTCAGCCCCCCCCCCATTTGTTCAGCTTCAAATACTTTACCTCTTCACATCTGTAGCCCGTTTCAAGGCAAATGTATGCATGACGTGCCCCAGCTGTGCGAGACAGTAAATGTGTGTGCAACCAACTAATCAGAGGCGCCCACAATCACTCACCGGTGCCCCATTTGTTGAGTGGGCACTGATACTGCGAATTCTTTCCCACAGATAAAAAGCAAACTTCAACAAAATGCTGGACACACAGGGCTGTGCTGCCAGCTTTGCAAGTGGAAATCGTTTTGCACAATTTATTTCAGCCGTTGAGTGGATGCTTGAACGGAGAACGGCGGGGGCTGATGGTATGGAAAGATCTGTAAGCAAGAATCTTCTAGGCACAGAAACTCTCACAAAGTACATTAAACATTTAGAAGAGAACTGTGTAATTCAGACTTTTGGAATTACAGCAAACAGGTCCTAGTCTTGTTGGTATATTCAGTAAAATCCAGCGATAAAGCTTGCCTCGGGGCTCGCCGCACTTCCGCTTGTCATTTGCTGAGAAAGCATGGGTCAAGCGGTTTCCCACTTGCACTGTGGTTTCTAGGCATAGGTCTGAGCTGTTTTGCCTTTGACCTGCCACTTCTTCCTGGAAAACACACTCTTTAGCACTAAATCAGAACAGCCACCTGTGGAAAATCCGATTGCTGTTTGCTCCGATTCAGTGCTAAACTCTGGGTTTCCCTGGATGAAAGTGACTGGGAAAACAGAGGTGTGGGGAAGCCCTTAGACCCAGTTTACAGTGTAAACTCCCTGCACACAGAAAGCCAGCATGTCTAGGAGGCCGATTTGAGCTAGCCTTCTCCCTGGCATGTTTTTCCCCACAACATTCAGGATGGGAGAACATGAAAGCGTTCAAGCTCCCACCTGCAACCTTAAGGGTTAGGGTGCATTCCAAGAAAAGCTTCACTGTGATTCTGCTAAATACTGTATGCAAACTAGGCCTAGGGACCACAGACCACAGATCCTGCTTATATTTGTTTGATGAGAGATTTAGGAGTCATGATCTCCTTTTCCTACAGAGTCAACACCTTCCCTTTTTTGCTGCGAACTCATTTCCTTCTCATGTAGGTCAACTGTATATCTCTACAAAACAAGGATTAAATTCCTCACCTATAGCAGGAAAAGCCACACCTATCCAGCCACACCTATCCAGTTGCAACAGCTTTGCAGCAAATTATTTTTTAAGATTATTAGGGAGAGCAAGGCATAGTTCTTTATTTAATACACCAGGAAAGCTATAGAGTTGCTGAAGTCTTAAACTTTTTAAAAAATAAAGGTCTGGAGATGAATGTTTGATGCGTGGGTTGCTGGATGAAGACACACTGCTGGCATGGACTTTAATGTATTGCTACTTGCAAAGTTAGCATCTTAGTTGAAAGAACTTGATTTGCTTGTTTTGCTTTGTTACTGGCAAAATGGAAAGTGTGAAAACACCCTGAGCTGTTGAACTGGTGTGAGAGGAGAAGCAGGTTTATAATTTGTTACCATTTTCAATGGATTGATCTCCTTGGTAGAATGACACAGCCAAGGACATTGTTTTTCATTCCTGGATATTCTTTCAGATCAGAGCTAGGACTTTCAAGGGTTCTCCAGTGATCCTGACATTGCCTCATGTAAACAAAATCATTGGCACAGGGTTTGAATGTTTATTTAGATATATTTAATTCACTCTTGTTCTGGAAAATTCACTATGTGCATTACAATTTGCATTCAAGTGCAGTGAAAAATTCACACACTCATCCACAGTATATAAGGAAAATGTTACAATACAGAATTTCATATCCACCCACAAGCTCAGTATAGATGTCCATCATCATAGAAGCCACTTGGACAAATGGAATTCCTTCCTAGATCAATGTGCACATCTGAATTACCTGCTCAATAGAGTCATCACTGAATCCACAGAGTTTGCATTGTATAGGCAAGATTAAGGTAAAGGGACCCCTGACCATTAGGTCCAGTCGTGACCGACTCTGGGGTTGCGGCGCTCATCTTGCTTTATTGGCCGAGGGAGCCGGCGTACAGCTTCCGGGTCATGTGGCCAGCATGACTAAGCCGCTTCTGGCGAACCAGAGCAGCACACAGAAACGCCGTTTACCTTTCCGCTGGAGCGGTACATATTTATCTACTTGCACTTTGACGTGCTTTCAAACTGCTAGGTTGGCAGGAGCAGGGACCAAGCAATGGGAGCTCACCCCGTCGTGGGGATTCAAACCGCCGACCTTCTGATCAGCAAGTCCTAGGCTCTGTGGTTTAACCCACGGCACCACCTGCGTCCCATAGGCAAGATTAGGATCCCCCAAATGCTAAATTTACAGCCTATAGGAGTGGATTTCACACTTTCTACCTACTGTTGTATTTGTATGCTGCAACTGATATTGTAAGTGTTGGCATTTTATGAATGTGCATGTATATTTCACTTGTAACTTTTGGGAGGTAACTGCCTGGAAATCCACCCACAGATTGTTAAATGAACAGTCCTAAAGCTCTCCAGAACAGTCAAAAACTGCTCTTCTAAAAAATATATTAATATGCTTATCAACCTACTGAAAAAGAAACTGTGTATGTTTTCTGTGTTCTGTCTTCACACACATCTTTCATCTTTACACAAATTTACAGTTCCCTTGATACTGAAAGATGTATGATGGAGAGCCAACGCGGGTAACCATTAAGGACCACTTAAGTCTAAATTATCATGAATCATGGAAAGCTGATGCGTCATCTGGTGCAAACACAGGGGGAATGTGCCAGGCTACCATCTTCAAAATCTGTAACTCCTTAGAAGTTTAAAAAAATAAATGGTCCTGGAATATCTTCACTGGAAGTTGATCTTCAGTGTACCTAATGATTTATTAATTGGTCTCAAAATCTGAATGGTTTACTGTAGCGATAACGTATCCTCAAAAATATTGTTTAGCAGCAATTTATAGATTTGTCCCTTGGGGCAAAATTCAGCTAAGTTGTCGCATGCACAGAATGAGGTCTTGCTCTGGAAGGATGGGAGAATCCCCAGAAGAGGTTTAAGGGGGCATTGGGGGCACACGGGCAGAAGAGGGTGGGGAAGTCTAGTGGACCTTGTTCTGTGCGCTATGTTGGCAATCAAGTTTCTTACCACTCTGGAATGAAGAGAACCGGGGGTCATCCAATGATGACAAATAGTGCAAGATTCAGGATAGGCAAGACTTGCTCCCACTGCATGCAGTTTAAATTACGGAAATTACTGTCACAAGGTGTAGAGATGGCTACGAACCTTCGAGAGAGTTAAAAGGGGAGGAATACATGAAGGATAAAGCTATTGAGAATTAGCACTCTTGCACTTTTGTGTACTATGTAAACCAGTTCTATAGAAATTAGTAGAACTTGTTTCCCCCCTGAGAAAACACCCTTAGACTGATATCTTTACTGAGAGGCAGAGAATCAAAGGTACTCCTCATCTGTAACTCCTGTGCAAAATGCATTGTCCAAATGAGTAATATGGGAATTTGGCCCCAAAAGACTTGCCTGCTTCTTGCTCCCTTAACTGTCAAGAAATCAAACACAGTAATATTCCCATTTGGATGTTTCCGGCCATTTCCATTTCTGAGAGGCGTAACGTGAGAATCAGCAATCCAAATGCAATTCCCTTTCCATGCAGAACCCTCTGCATCACAGCATGTAAAGCAATGGGAGTAGTTGGAATTTAAATACAGGTACTTGGATGTTGTTTGATAGAGATAGCAGCCTATTTTTGCTCTCAGTGATAGCAACACTCACTCTTTTGCTGCTGTAGCAGGAATATTTACATTCTGCTGTGAAGGAAGGCTGCTCATTCACAGAACTGGCACAGCAGATTTATGCATGAATTCTTTACAATAAATATCCGGTGCTTTTAAAGGCACCCGCTGAGTTCAAGTAATCTTTCTCCTGAGTTTATGTGCAGATCTTTTATAAACATACAACCTAGGTTGGCATGCCAGAATGTCAGCATGCTTTATCAATACTGCATTTAACTTACATACTCTGCCAGAGGAAATTAAATATAACACACACATACACTTACTTACAGATCAGCAGTGAATTTGAGAAACCATTGTTCTTCGCTATCTGCAGTAGATAGACAGCATGATCCTCATATGTTATCTCCAGAGTCACAAAACAGCTAAGGGGCATTAGCACAATTCAGAAAATATTGTGACACAACTACATATCATTGGAAGCATTGGAATGGAAAGGGATTCAATCCCCAGCATCTCCAGTAGGGCTGTGAATGTCTCACCCACCATTTGTTGGGACTGTGGTCCTGTGACTTCATGTTGGATCCGTTCCAGTTTAAATGCACATTTTTGAAAGGTTTTTGAAGCATCCATAGGGCTTTTCTTCAGACCTACCATTTTTACTCACATCCACTGGCTTCTGCGGTTGCCAAGTGCTGACAATCAAGTGGAGCTGTTTTGTTTATTTTTATTTATTTATTGCATAAAATTTATATACCTCGATTGTGAAAAGAAAAGCCCTCAAAGTGGTTTACAAAAAAGGCAATAAAATCCAGAAACATTTGCAACTCTATTTTAAAACACACAAAAATGAAAATACCGAAACACATTAAAAAATTACTGCAACTTTCTAAGCATCTGGATAGGCTTCTCTAAACAAGAATGCTTTTAGCAGGTGCTGGAAAGAATACAGTGAAGGCACTTACTTAATCTCAATAGGCAGGGAGTTCCAAAGCAGAAATGCTTTCCTTTTTATTTTGTTTTCCTCACTTGTGTGCATTCAGAATGTCTCTTCTTTTTATATTTTCTTTTTTTCTTGCTACACACATTTCATGCAGCTTAACCAGCATCTTGAGTCAAACAAAAACACACACCAGAGGAACAGAGGAAGCTTTTGCATATGGTATTTTGTCAACATATTTTATCAGAGCAAGTGGTATAATTCATAATGTAGCAAAACGCAAATGGACAGCAGACGTTATTATGAAAGGAAACAAGTAAATATAAATGATTGGCCTTAAGAAAAAAATCTAACAAATGCATTTCAATGTAAATAGAATGTTAGGCAGCAATTTATTGTTGGGAGGTGATGTTTAGAGGATGTAAAGTTGTTGTTTTTTAATGGTGGAGCTGTTACTTCTGCCCGAGATGAGGCACAGGTGTATTGTAGGAAGCATGAAAAATTCAGAAGACTGACGAATCACATCAATCAGCTGAAGTCCTGGTGGACGCAGAAAAAGAAACTGACCTACAAAATGATACTACTCTCATAGACTCCATTTTCTCCACATTCCCTGCCTACTAATAAAATCTCTGACAAATTTAGTGCAACTCCCATTAGCTAGAAAAGTTGTTCAGAATTCCATTGTATCTGGAAAAAAAGGAAACTTGCCTAGCAAAACTCATACCATGTTGCATTAATATACATTACTATCCAAATTGCCACACTTTTTATTACCTTCATAATTCCTAGTTAGCTGAACTCCCTGAGTGTCTTCCAGGTAGCTCTTTATTAGCATTGCTCTTCGTTAATAGCACTCCATTTATGCAAATGTCTGATGATCCAACTGCTTTTGTTGTGTCACAACAATGCAATCAAGATGAAGCAATACTCTGCTGCACTTAAAACATCTGCTAATTGAAAAAAATTATATACTACAGCACTCAGAAACAGTGGTGTTCAAATGGCTAGTTGCAGGAGTCAGCATGTTGAGAATCTCTGCTTTCGCTTAAGAAACTGATGGATGGGGAAAGAGAATTCCTAGCCCTCCGTGGCTCTTAAGAGAAGATACACTTCACTTGTTTGGCAAGTTACACCTCAGACCTAGGTCCCATGGGCTAGCTAGGGTGAAGAATGAGCATGGAAGCAGAAGCCGACTAAGCAATGCCAAAAAATGTAAATGTATGCAAAAGGTCCATAATGTATTTTGTGTTGTAGAATCCAGCTTTTTCTGAAAAATAGGGTGGTATTCAACTACGTTTTACTCATAAAAGACGTACTGAAATTCACAAACATGACCAAGTTAGGTCCATTAATTTCGGCATGTCTACCCTGAATAAAAGTTGAACACTACCCTGTTTTTTTTCTTTCTAAACCCATAAACCCAGCCCTACAAGGTAAAGGTAAATGTAAAGGACCCCTGGGTGGTTAAGTCCAGTCAAAGGCGACTATGGGGTTGCGGCGCTCATCTCGCTTTCAGGCCAAAGGAGCCGGCATTTGTCCACAGACAGTTTTCTGGGTCATGTGGCCAGCAGGACTAAACCACTTCTGGCACACGGAGGACCGTGACGAGTGCCAGAGCACATGGAAACGCCGTTTACCTTCCCGCCACAGCAGTCCCTATTTATCTACTTGCACTGGCATGCTTTCGAACTGCTAGGTTGGCAGTAGCTAGGACAGAGCAACAGAAGCTCACTCCGTTGCGGGGATTCGAACCACCAACCTTCTGATCAGCAAGCCCAAGAGGCTTGGTGGTTTAGACCACAGCGCCACCCACAGTCCCCCACTGTAGTATGCTCAATATCAAAGCAATTGAAGGAAACTTGCAAGGTGGAATGCAGAAAATGATGATCATACAACCTACACATTTCCAATTGGAAAAAACCAATAGGCAGTTAAAAAATAGAAAGAAATAAGTGACAAGTGACAAAGATCTCTTCCTGGCCTCCAGAGTCTGGCATATTCAGTGTAGACTCATATTTGTGGTTTGCTAATGTTAATTTATGTTCCTCCACAAGCCCTAAAGAGTTTTCAGACATACTTCTTTTGTTGCCAGTTCTAACAAATGTATCAGGCCTGTTTGGGTTTGCATGTTTTTCAAAATAAAGGAGGCAAAACAGCAGTAACTAATTTCGTATTTGCCAGAGGGAAATAGGAATTTCATATTTTGTATGTAAGGTTGTATTTGAAAGTTTTCAAAAGGTTATCATGCACAGGGACAGACGTTTTCATCAACACTTATTTGTTTGGTGTTGGGGTTTTTTTGCATTTACTTCTGAGGACCTCGGAGCGATGCAGGTGGAAGCTGTCCCATTTTAATCTCATAATATGCATCTGTGGCTGGCCAAGAGGTTTACCAATGGTTGCCCAATATACTTCTTGCTGATAGAATTCAAGTTTCCCAGTCCATGCATATCACTCTGTCCACTATACCAGTGGTGGGAAATCTGTAGGCCTCCAGACAATCCAGGACTCTTAATGCCAATCAGCACCAGCCATCGTGGTCAGTGGTCAGTGATGATGGAAGATACTGTACTAAACTGCTCATTTATATGTACCTGTCCCTTTACAAAAAGTCAGCTTTATCAAGCCAAGATATATTTTCCTGCTAAAAAATAGTTGTGGTTTGAAGGCTCATTTTGTTTTCATTTTCATAATGCAAAATTATGAGTTGTGTATCTCACGTCTCCAGTGCCTCATGAAGAGGTGATGTACTTGTTAATGTCAATGTAACCATTTTACACTGACGTAAGCAGTCATTGCCTGCAAAGCTCTCCTCCGCTAAGTGCTTAGTCTCCTGAATTTTTCATGTTGGTACAATCCATCTATGACTATAAAGGCTCACGAAAAGATTTATCGCGTTAAAAAAGAAAAGTTAGCCTTTTCCCCTACTGATTTCCTCCTGTATGATCTCAGTTAAACCATGCAGCAGATTGTGACCTACTTATAACATTCATTTTACATTATGTTAAAAACCCGTGAAGTGTATTATTTTGCTTCTGCTAATCAGGAGATGGGCCAAGGACCAACGTAAAAGAGGCACCACTCTTGAACACAGGCACCACTCAGAGGTTTCTGAGATATTGCCAAATGTTTTCCAAGTTTTTTCTCTACTCCCATAAGGACTAGAAACTTGGTGCTTCTCCCCTCCCCCCCTTAAACTTGTTTCTTAAGAGACAGGTTTTTCTTGCTAGGTACAAAAATTGACACAAAATACACAGAATCACCTGCTATTGCAAGGACCTTCTGCATGCAAAGCAGACACCCCACCAGGGTGCTAAAGCTGTCTTTTTAAGGCCTGGTGTGATTGTGCTGTGCATCTATCTCATGTCCTACTAGACTCATTTGTGGTTACCTAAGAGGTGGGTGGCGCTGTGGGTTAAACCACAGAGCCTAGGACTTGTCGATCAGAAGGTCGGTGGTTTGAAGCCCCGCAACGGGTCCCTTGGTCCCTGCTCCTGCCAACCTAGCAGTTCGAAAGCACGTCAAAGCGCAAGTAGATAAATAGGTACCGCTCCAGTGGGAAGGTAAACGGCGTTTCCGTGCGCTGCTCTGGTTCGCCAGAAGCGGCTTAGTCATGCTGGCTACATGCCCCGGAAGCTGTAGGCCGGCTCCCTCGGCCAATAAAGCGAGATGAGCGCCACAACCCGTTGGCCACGACTGGAACTAGTGGTCAGGGGTCCCTTTACCTTTACCTTTAAGAGGTGGGTACAGCCAGCAGTAAACTAATCCACAGCTAA